CTCCCATACTCTCGAATACACTACCGTTAGGAACGTGAAAAATTAATTCAATTTGGACTCCATATGCTTTCCTGATTTCTTCTGTCTCCAACATGTCACCTTTGGTCTATTATTTGCATTCCAAAAGGAAAGAGTGTTAAGGTGTAGGCGGTTTTAATATAACGGTAAGCTGAGATTTTACCGGGACACAGGAAGGCAGAAGTACCGTCCAACGTTTCACGCTCGTTATTCTATGTTGCACGGCCATATCTACTGGGAATTAAAACTGCTAGTAGCTCGATCTTCCTGTTTGCATTCTCCAGTTTCGTCTTCTTCAGACAGAGAAAACTCCGTGATCTCGCCGAAATGTTTGACGATTCCAAAGGCGGCATCTTCATAAATAAATTCCCTATCTCAAGCAGTCATTTTCTTCATTAAATATGATTTGGGTTTACGGTTCCCAACGGATCCTGCAGCCTTCAGTACTTGATAAAATATTCCAGAGAAAAAGTGTAACGTTAACTGCTCATATTTCCCCAAAATAACATTTTCTCATTCTTCACTGCAAACTTCCATCGTGAATTCAGAAATGGGCTAGAACGACTTATTAAGCATGAATGCAGTTTCATGACTTTAAAATAAAGGGGTCGCAATATAGCCTCTTTGTTCGTACCGAAGAATCTTCTTTCTAAAACTCGGACAAAAGCGACACCTGTACGATCAATGAAAATCGCGATTTTTTCGTTTTAGATAATCAAACTTTGAAGAAGTGCCACGCCTGCGTTGTTTTTAAAAAGATTTGTTTTCAATTAGGCACAATGTAAACAGTCTACTTAAGAAATTTTTGTGAAAATTACAAGACTACCATTAGCATTGCGAAGACAACGGTGTTTTATTTGTCATGATTTGCAAATTAGTCCTGCGCACTTAACATCCCGATAGTAGTGACATGCATGGGAGAATTATAAACAGTTCAGACTTTTTGCGCGACGCACATTATTCGCACATTATTCCAAAATTACGGTCCTTGCATGGTAGGGGTTTTGTCCACTGTTTGGAATTTGTACCGAGCGTCAGACGGAATGTGTGTGTAGAAAACGCATAGAAAAAGGCGACATACCAGGCCATATCTCCACCATGATGCAGTAATGGTGACGGGCATAGTCTGTGGCAGTTGTTTCTTGTTCTGATATCATGCAGGCAGTCATAATCCTGACCACTAAATGGTGTCACAGGCACAGGCATCTGGTATGAGACTTTTCACGTTAGAGTAAATGCCCTATATAAATTAACAGAGACCGATATGCAGCGATGCCATGATAACCTTCATTTCTACACCATTGATGACCAGCCGGTTGGAGTCTGTTCATTAAACATGGCGTCAAAGAGAAAGCGCACTTTTGGCTTAGTGGTTTCACATGGCGATCAGCGATATGGTCAAAAGACGGGCGAATACACAGAGGACAGCTGTCTTCTCCCACCCGCAGATGCCACCTCACCAGGACAGCCGTCGTAATTGACAAGAATTGAAAGGGCAATTAAAAGACCGATTGAATGAACCATAATCCACTGACTTAATCAAATGTAAAAAATTTAAACTTTAAGTCAATGAAAAACTCATTCAATTCGCAGCAAGTAATTTACAGTAGATGTGCTAACTCGTGAAATGTCAAACAAAATTTCGAAATGCGTTCTCGTTTCGAAAAGATAAATTAAGTAGCGTTGTAAAACTAATCATGATGCAGCATAAATCTATAATGATACAGTTACCTCAGGGTGTCGGCTTCCGAAAGAACTTATTTTCGGCTGCATGCAAGATCTACACTCTGCAAAAAAATGACTACTTAAGTAGTTTACAATTTTATCATTGATTTTCGATGCCCTTGAAAATGTAACTATATTTCATGGACAACATGCATAAAAATATTCAATATTTTACATATTCGGTAGAAATTCACGTCTTCTTCCACTTTCATACTCCAAAGTGGAGTGTAATTCGGTTTTAAAAAGGTTTCTAATTGTGAGATTTTTTAACATCGTTAAATGCCCGTTCATGAAACCTCATGTATCGGCATTTAAGAATGTGGCTTGCAAATTTACAATATTGCTCAAATCCACTGCTTAATTTTATGAACGTCATATGGTCTCCTCTTGACACCGTAGATAAATGTATGCAATATTGTTATTTTTACAAGCCACATTCGTAAATGCAGAAACATGACCTTTCATGAACGGCCATTTAACGGGGTTAAAAAATCTCACAATTAGAAACCTTTTTAAAACCGAATTATACTCTTCTTTTGAATATGAAATTGGAAGAAGACGGGATTTTCTACCGAATAAGTAAAGGAATGAATATTTTTATGCATGTTGTCTATGAAATATAATTACATTTTCAAGGGCATCGAAAATCAATGAGAAAATTGCAAACTAGTTAAGTAGTCATTTTTTGCAGAGTGTAGATCTTGTATGCAGCCGAAAATAAGTTCTTTCGGAAGCCGACACCCTGAGGTAACTGTATCATTATAGATTTATGCTGCATCGTGATTAGTTTTACAACACTACTTAATTTATCTTTTCGAAGCGAGAACGGATTTCGAAATTTTGGTTGACATTTCATGAGTTAGCACATCTACTGTAACTGCACACAGTTTGCTTGCGACTTTATTTTGACAAGTAAGGCAAAAGAATATAAAGAGTTTAGCTTGTACACTAAGACTTTTCACGCCTGACCCTGCAAATTCTACCCCATGAATTGCATATTTTATACTTTTAAACATCCTTGTGATCTCTCCCTCCACATTCTAACCACTTTCTAGAAAAGTGGACTTTATTTACTATGCCCGACGTTTCTGTATGAGGTAGGGGTTACTAGACAAGGCTCTTGACAGGTATTTCAAAGTGAGTGGCATTCCTTTTAAAGTACCGTGATTATTGAAAGTTACTAAATTTGCCTTATGCTTGAACACATTAAAGCAAGAAGTATATTGCATTACCATCCTCAAATTCCATGGATAACGAAAAGGTGGGCAAAGTAAACCGTTCTTTCGAATGACGCCTGATTATAGAAGACTTTCCGCTTTCACGATAGAAGCCCAAACTTGTCATTTACTACAGGTTTGGTTGGTGGGAGCCCTGCTTCTTACAGAAACTTAACCACCAAGATTGCATGACCAAATTAATTTTCTTAGGCGAAACGCGACCGTTTGCTTTAATTTGCATCCTTGCGCGCAATATCAGGTACTTGCGAATTTCGCAACTTGTGATTAGCTAGAAACGCTAACTGTCCACTTATCGGCTCATATAAAGCAGACATGTTTTAGGGAGAATGTATGCGCCCAAACGTATTTAACTATTTCTAAATTAAAGCAGTGGCGTGGGCAGAACTCCGTCGTTCAGACCTTTATGTGCAGGTAAATTGAGCGATGTGGCACGCGGAAAATGCGACATTTGTTGTCTTGATACTCTCCATTCTGAACGAGATGGGTTTGTAGATGAAACACATACGTGGATAAAAAAAAAGATGCGATTACGCACTAATCAGGGAAACGGATACAGCAACCGCTCGTAGAGAATGAGGTTCGGAGAGGGAAGTAGGATGCTCTGTTGTACCAGATCTTATCAAAGGCTCGGAAATTTAAGGAAACCTCGTCGAGGGAAGGAGGATAGAAAAGGCGTTCCTGTGAGTCGTGGCGAGGGCGAGTTGGTATGAGCTATCTTAAGGCGTCTGATTGAAGTCAGGACAGTGAGGTCGTCACGAGTAATTTTTAAACGGTATATTGTGCGCATAGGACGTAGTGGATTTGGCCATAAATAACTGTAATGGCCTGCAGACGTTATCTACGAGAACAAACAACAAAAACCCGCCGACAAACTAAGATAAGTAGATGATTCGTTTTCGGGGTATATTTGGAAAATTGGACATAGTTAGGCGCGGATATACTGTATAATCGGTGACATTCACATTTAAAAGCCCACAGGAATCCGTGTGGATACGAAGTACTGGAGGTCGGATTTGAGATTGACACGGATACCGGACGTGACAATGAGCAGCTGCTCGCCCCAAAGAGTGAGGTGGCTTTAAGCCCTATTCGAGACCCTGAATTGCTGTTAAAGACGCTAGACTAGGTCGTTGGATGAGTAACTGTATGTATGTAGGCTATGAAATCTGGATTTAGTAACGCTATGAAGATGTCTATTAATAATAGCGAAAGTGCGATCCCCCGGTGACATATCAAAAGAAAAGGGAGCGTTCACCGGGAGAGGTTTATTGGGGGTCTGACGTTTCGAGTAGTTGTTTAGTTCACCCATCTTCAGAGGCTGGAAAGTCATGCGCAAAGCTCTCCTTATATGGCACACTTTCTATGATGCGTGGTCCGCCAATGGCGCCTGTGTGGCTGCATCCGACCCGCATGGCAGCGTGACGTGAATCGCCCCCGCCCTCGTTGGCCGCGGAGGTAGTTATGTAACGGCCCTTAAACTGACCAGGGTTGTTTGAATGTTGTGACACTTCTGGAGCGCGGATCCAGGATGAAGATGATACGGCTGCGTATCGGCGAATATAATCGGTGTTCTGTCCTCTCCCCTCTCCCGCCGTTACAGTCGTTATCCTACCCTATCTCCCGCTCTACTTCGGCACTTTCCACGGCCCCACCCACAGTTGCCGACAGCGCTGTATTCCCCACCGGTCACCCAGCTGGTATGTTGGTATCGCCTCTTCATCCAGACGAATAATCATATCTGCTGTAATTCGCATCCCTCTATTGTATCATTTAACATTTCGCTATGCATCCATTGTGTTGCTCTTACTACATGTGTCCGCCCCATTCGACTTCTTCTGCTGTCAGCTTAAATGAGTAGTCTGCCCCGTTTAGCAAATCTCTTCAGATCAAATTAGCCAGGAATCATATCCAGTGCTCCACGTTACCCCGTGTGTACTTCCCTTAATGTCTTCCGCCGCTACAAGTTGACAGCACTGATTGTTTCGCGCTAAGATGGTGCGTAAAGTCAGACAGTGCAGGCTATTTGATATGGTGGTTAACAGAGCAGTCGATAGACATCCAGGCGTCTTGCACCTGTTTGCCCCGGCCCACAGTCTCAACGGCCTCAAAGTTGAAGATGTGTCCCATCTGTGGGGCGTGGGTTGTTGCCTCCGACGTTGGGTCCAACATTCGCTTGGCCAACTTATGTTCGTGCATTCGAGTTTGTAGCCGTCGACCGGTCTCCTCAATGTAGTCGCACTTCCCGCAGTTGTACTGAAGTCGGTAGACAACAGCCGACATCTCCTCCTTAGGGATCGGGTCTTTAGGCCGCATCACTTGCCCGCGGACTGTGGAGTCGGGTCTGTGGGCAACACCTATTTCGAGCGGCGCGAGCGATCTAGCCACGGCTTCGGAGACCCCTTTCATGTACGGAATGCTACGCCACAATTTTAGCTACATTCTTCATTCCACTTTCTTGGTTGCCTTCGGTTCCGTCCAACGAATGATCACCGATAGACATTAGCTCTGAAGAGTCCCAGGCGGCTTGCGTGCTGCAACGAATTTCTACTCGTAGGTATAGCGTGCGTACAGAGCTTCATTTATGTTTCAGTGAGTGTTTGCTGTTGTAACTGAGCATTTGCAGCTTGTTCGTCGGTTTTCCGTAGACCGACGTCGCTAGTTTGCCGATTGGTTGGCGACAGACGAAACCATCCAAGAATGGAAGTTTGTCCTCCAATTCCTCTTCCATCGTCAACTGGAGAACGCGCGTGATTGAGTTCAGCAGCTCTTCATAGTAGTTATTTATTATACTGATCGATGATTACAAAAGTATCATCAACGTAACGCGCCCAAACCTTGGGTTTGTTCTCCTCGAACAGTCACTCCTCGTCTCGGCAGTGAGCCCGGAGATTGGTAAACCCATATGAGTGCCCTTAATTTGCTCATATATGATCCTTTCGAAGGTAAACAGTGTCCTGAGGCAACGCCTCATGAATTCTATGAGATCCTGAACTGTGGGTTGGTCATCACCCTAGTCGTAATTTTGACGTTGCAGATCACTAAGCGTCTCGACCGCAGGGGCCTGTGGCCTGAGTGAGACGACATCAAACGGCACCATTCTCTCATTCGGTTCGATCGTGACCGCCGATCGTGATGGGTGCTTTATTGTTTGGTAGACCACGATTAGGAATACTTGCTTCCGAAATAGCCAATTTGCAAACCCGTATACGGGTATTCCTCGGAGTGGGACGATTGGTTGGAAAGAACATCTAGTTGAGGCGCCTTTGGAAGACCGTAGAGTCTCGCAATCGTTGTTTCTGTGGGCTTTACTATATACTAGTCTTTGACGGTGATGACCTTGTTCTTCATTAATCGAGCCAGACTGGCGGCGTCGCTGACTCTGTAGGTCTCACGATCGTTGAGGATCATGAGGGCTCACATCGCTTTAAACTTCAGGACGCTTGTTGTACGCCGATGTGTTGAATTGACCGCCACCACATTGGAGACGAAAAGATGCGTTAACAGATCGGAAAAGGCCATCGCACTACAGACCACACAATCTTAGGAGGCAGAATCAAAGTTACTACACAACCTCTCGTCGAAACATCTTACTATGGCCTTAACAAAAGTCCCGCAGCGTTGGTCCCGTCTTAAGATAACTGACGCCGACCTGTTCGCTTTCATTGCCTCTTTCGAATCGGTGCCACGTCAAACCGTCGCCATAGATGAGGCAAAGGACGTCCTTCGACACCCAATCTTCTCATTTCTCATGCCGCATCGACAAACCCATTCGCTGCACGAGATGAACAAAAAGCCCTATGGGAGTTAAAAGCGGACATCGAAATAGGTATTCCGCCTGCTGACAGAGACCGATCAACCGTTATCCTCGACAAGGTAGATTACCAAAACAAAGAGCGTATGCACCTCAGCGATCGGGAGACCTACAGAGTCAGCGGCGCCGCCAGTCTTGAGTCCCTACCGCGAAAGGTAACAGACTTCTGACTCGATTAAAGAAGAACAAGATCATCAACGTCAAAGAGTGGTATATGACAAAGTCCACAGAAGCATTAATTAATTTTATTCGCCATGAAAGCAGGGGTGAACCGAAGAGATAATTTATAAACGAGAAAGAAAAATAAAAAACTCTCACGGATGGAAGCGAATATGCGAATCCCAGGTTCTTGTTGTAAAGAAGATGAAGACCCGATCTCTGGGACAGTGGGTTTATTAGTCTGAGCTTTCGGTCTCGTACAGGAGGCCATCGTCAGAGACTGTGAGAAGGCAACATCAAATGAGTGGTTTTTGTAGTCACGCCATGAAGGGGGGGGGAGATATGAGTGCAGAGGGTGGTATTCGCGATAATTTGCGTCCCACGCCGTCTCACGGTGGCGTGACTGCGTGCACCCTTGGCTGGAAATTGGGTCTCGCCCCTTGGCCGCGGGAACGGAGCGCGTGATAGCAGGGGGGTATATCAACGTGCCTGTTGATAGCGTTGGTGTCAGACACCCAGGCCTCTAACAGTTCTCGTCCTGTCTTATTGCTGGCCCGCGCAACTATCCGCGTGCTCGCAAAGTTGAATTCGTGGCTTTCCTCCAGGGTGTGAGTGGCGACCTGAGACAACGGGTCGCCTCTCCGGACCGCCCGTTTGTGCTCCGTTATTCGTGAGCTAAGTCGTCGTCCGGTTTGTGCAGTGTAGTGGCGAGGGCAGTCCCGACATGGGATCTGATAGACGACGCCCGATTGTTCATCCACGTCTAGGCGATCCTTCACTTGCATGATTTTGCTGCGCATGGTCGCTGTCGGACGGTGAGCGATACCCACGCTGAGCTCTCCAGCGATACGTTCCATCGCTTCGGATACGTTCTTTATATATGGCAGAAGGTGCCAGAGTGTTGGTGGCTCTCCTCCGTTTCTTCGCCGTGGGCGCGTGCGGAGGCAGCGGCTGACGAAGCTGTTCGGGTATCCATTCCTTGCCAGTTGGTCCCGAAGATGCCGAAGTTCTCGTACTCGTCCCTCTGGTTCACAGCAGTGCGTTTTTACCCTCTGGAAGAGTGTCCTAACACAGCTGCGTTTATGCGCCATTGGGTGGTTGCTGTGGTAGTTGACAGCTTTTAAAGAAAATATCAATCAGTGCTCAATAAAATATCAATATTAATAAAAGATGCATATGATATAATTTCGCGCCATATACTGAAACGCCTGACCAAGGAAATCTATTCTGTGATTGTCAAACATCCCTAGTGATTTCTTTGGGGATAACGGACCCAAAAAATATGCAGTGCGTCGACGCGTCCTGCCGTTGGCAAAAGCCGACTTACCTTTTGATGGGGGAAGTCCAAAACCATCTGAAAAAGCTCTACACTTACAAGAGTCAAGGGCGCACTTATGGAACCTTTTCTGTATACCAATCGTGGTTTCTGCCTTTAATATTTGACCTGCATGTAAAATATCATGAGGTGTATCTGTTTATTGGCATAGCTTGGAATTTTCGCCATATACCAGCCCTAATGCTGCTCAATTTAAATTCCAAATTTAACTGTAGTCAGCAAAAATACCCGGTACTGACGGCCAAAATGAGTATTTCTCAGGGAAAAAAGTTTTTGCCCATACTGATACTTTCATAAGGATAATCGGCTGCGCTATAAAACCCGCATGCCTAACTTTAAAAATTCATGTTAAAACAATTTACTCTGACCATTTTTTAAATATTGTCGGCATTTCCTTAGCTGTTTTTAGAGGAAATCGAAGTTCGTTTTCTGAATTTTTTAATACAAGTTGTCAACAAATATATTATGGGCTCAACAGCTAGATGAATATCGTCGTATTCACCGCATGTTTTTGGTGTGTTGTACAGTAGGTTTTGTAACTCACGAAAGGTATCGAAATTTACGAATGATTGACAATCATTCGCAAACCGGCACTAATGCACGCATCTAATATCCATGTAAATTAAGCACAACTTAAAGAGAATTAGAAACGTAAAAGAAATATTATATACAGTGTTTCGTTGTTTCGGAATGCCGATCATTAGAAAAACACAAAACCCCAAAAAAGTCTAAAATGATATTAATTTGCAGAACGTAGTTTGTAGATTACGGAATGTTTGCTTATGTAAAAACTGATTAAATATGGAAGCACAAATAAAATAACTTTCGCAAAGAGTATTTTAGCTAATTAAGCATTTAAATGTCCTTTAGGAATTCGTGACATCGCAGGTATGGTGATTTGCCAGCAGCCTACAGTCTAAGTATAGATTCCATAGCAGTCTCCGAGGATTCATGGTATTCTGAGCTCCTTTTAGTCGCTTGAGATGTGGTTCAACAAGAGAAACAGGATCGTGCTTGATTTCACCATTAATGACGTTGTAGATACAAAGCCATTCATGAAATCGCATATTGCCTTTTCGATCTGTGACTAATAAATTTAACCGAAATTGACAAGCATAACACTTTGTGTTTATAAAGAGAACTTTCCTTCCGCTAAACTAATTTGCAAGTTTCATTTGTTCTGATCCACGCTGAGGTTCAAATTGGTCTTGAAATTTCAGTGAATACTTCATTATTTGCAGTGTTTTCTCCGATCGTCCGTAAAGACAGACTCTATATCATGCATCTGTTAAAAACCTTAAAATAACAGACTTCTTGAAGTAATAAATGGTTGGGCGTTCTTTTTGTATGGAAGGCCGTTTGGGTCACATCTATGGTGTCACGTTAATACGGAAAACTCATAATCGAGTAAAATGAAAGTCCGCGACGAAATTCAATAACGAATATGATTTTAATCAATTAGGAAACTTTTTATAATATGTTAACTCTTTAATACTGCACTCCTTTGGCAGACATCTGTTTCTGTGCACTTTTGCACGGTTAAAAGAAGAAAAAATTAGCGTATTGGCCGTTTCGTTCAAGGCGCTTAACAATACTAATATGCTTCTACCGTAAGCGTAAGAGCAGGCCTCTCTCCCGCCTTGCTTTTAGATTGTACCTCTATTGTCAGTAAGTAAACAATTAAACAATGCCTTCCTCTTTAGGCTGCTGCCATTTGCACTGTTTTGTTTGCTTTTAGGCCTCGTTTGACGGTTGTGAATGCACGGCTGAGTGCCGAAATCAATATGGATATTTTTCTGAAACTGTTAACGTTTTTCTGGTACCTTTCTGAATAAGGTATGTGCTGAAGATAGACTGCCTGAACAGCAAAGTTTCCTGTGCTCACATCTGGAAATAACTATTCGGTGCTTGTCAGTTCTATGAAAACAAGAAGAATACCCCATGCGGCAAAATAATTTCAGCCCATTTAAACGAAGAGTTGCCTGTGTGCGTCATTTATGCACTTCAGCACACCAAATCTCACAGATTTGCTTACATTATTTGTAAAAATCGATAAAACATCTGGTACTCTTAAAATAGCCTTTGTTTAGCAAGTGGATT